TTTTTTTTTTTTTTTTTTTTTTTTTTTTTTGGTACCAGGGATCGAACTCAGGTCCTTGAGCTTGTGAGGCAGGCACCAGAATCACTGAGCTAAATCCCCAGCCCTCTGTTTCCTCATCTTTAAAATGGAAATAATGAGCTCTTCAGGAGTCTGAATCAGGAGAATTACAGGTTCAAGATTAGCCTGGGCAACTTAGCAAAACTGTCTCAAAATAAAAGAGCTGGGGATGTAGTTCTGTGGTAGAGCACTTGCTTAGAGAGCGCAAGGCTCTGGGCTCAATCCCCAAGATCACCACCCGAAAACAAAAAAAGGAAATAAGAAATTTGCCCCCAAGTTCTCAACAGAGCTAGGATCCTCTATGCTCCCTGCTCTTCAGCAAAAGGAGGCAGAAAGAACTTGAGAACTTGGGCTTTGGTGTTAGCACTAGACTAGGCTTTCCTAGGAATGACCATGAGAACCCAAGGACCCATTATCAGAATTTTTCTTAGCCTTCAGACTCTTTCCTTTGTCAAACTGGATTTTTACACGCATTGCAATAGTCAAATCAGGCCCAGAGTTCAGTGTATGCCAGGACACACACACAGGCCTCCATTTCCATGCAGCATCAGAACCCAGCTCTGAAAGGAACTGAGCATCCATGCCCTATTTCCTGAGACACCTTTTTCAGTTTTTTCCAGCAGAGAAACAGGCAGATCAAGCATACCAAACACCAACTTGTCCCTTACCCTCCTCTTCACAGCCATCTCCATAATGTGATGGTCCATCTGCAGCAGGAAAACAAGGAGCTGAAGACTGAGATAGAAGAAAACCAAGTGAAAGCCGGAAATACAAGGCTGTGCAGAGCCCTAGGCCCGAGCAAACTGGAGCCCACACAAAGGGGGAAAATGTGTAGCGCATTGGGCTGGAGGGAGACAGCCCAGGACATGGGCCAGAGAATGGACATCACCAAGTACGTTGGGCTTCCCCAGTGCTCAGGTACGTCTGCCATGCCTTTTGTTACCGTGATGTCCCCCTTTTCAGTCCCATGTGCCAAAACAACATTGTGGTGTTATTTTTTCAAAGATCACTGGATCGAGAATTCACAGAAGAAAACAGGTCAGTCGTGACCTCAAGTCATTTGTTTAGCTACCCTGGACCAATGATAATTGTTTCCCCACCTGTAGAGGAAAAAAGCAAATTAAAGCCCATTCTGATCTAATACTTTTGATGATGCCCTAGTACCTCGTACCTCAGACCCATCCCCTCCCCTGATCCAGTATTTTTTGAGAAGTACGGGCAAAGAGAGAATAGGCATCATGCTCCAGTTCTGAAAGCCCCACAAGAGTATACCATCCCCACCCAGCCTGGGTCCACAGCTACTTTTCCTGCCACTTCTAAACAAAATGTTACTCATGTTACTCAAGAGGGAAGAAGTCACCCTGCAGCAGAGCTGCCTGGCCACAAAGCCTGTCCTTGAGGAATCACATCATTAATTTCTCCCCAAACCAAAACCCTCACTTCCTCCCTGTTCCTCAGGTTCCTCCTATTGCTAGAATCAGCATCTTTTCCCTGAGCATCATCTCTGTGCGAGTTTTCAGAGGACAGCAAGTTTCCATCATTCTTGACTTGGATCAGCTCTTCCAGGGATATACCAAGGTCCTGGCCGATTTTGCAAGTTGCTAACCTTTACTTTCATCCACTTCATGCAGGGGAGTGAGCAAGCCTGGAGACCATACTTCCACCTCCAGGCCCAAACTCTACAATAAAGACATGAGCAGAGCAGTGTCAGAGTGCTTGGTGTCCTGTAGACATCTCTGTGTCCCACCAGCCCTCAGGAACACAGTTGTCCCTTTTTCTCTCTCTAAGATACTGGTCTCTCACAAATGAAGCTTCTGAATTATCTGAATTCATTTTTAAAACAACAAAAGACAATTAGCTCCTTTTATTCTTTCCATCTCTGTCTAGAAAAAAGAACCCTACAAACCCTTTTTCCAAGAAAGAATGTAATCCTGAGACCCAACAGAAAGCAAGAGAAATACAGGATACATTTTCCAAAGAGGAGAGCAAGAGCAAGCCATCTGCTTCCTCCCTGGCTGCCATATTACATTCCTCTTTTTAATAATTTTATTTTTCTCCCCAGCCACCTCAATACAAGTAAAATTCCATTATAACAAACTCTAAGGACAGCTAAACTATTTTATTGTGGAAGGATTTTGTCTGAGTACATGTTTAGAATTTATATTTCTAGTCTGCAGGAAATGGAGACAAATAGCTACTAAGGTAAAGTAAGGGAAAGAATGAAAAAGCTTGCGTTTCTGAAGAGGCAGGAAAAATGAAGGCAAAGCTTGACAATGATTCTTAAATATTCTTTCCTCCATCCCCAGCCAAATAAAGGCCAAGAAAATTCACCACTAATAGTCACCTGTTTCACAAAATGACCCTTCCAGGACTTTGAAAGGGCAAGTTCACAAGTGTGAGGTAGGGTGATGAGCATCTCTGGTGGCTTCTGTTTTAATGTGGTTGTCTGGTAATGCTCTTTTGACTATCTCATTTGGTTTAGAATAAGGGCTTATTTTCTAAAGAAAACTAAAGACTAGAAAACTTGGTACTGATGAAATTGCTTCCTAGCCCTAGCCGTGGATCATTTATTCAAACAAAAATTCAAAGTCATTAAATTCTCATCTGGTCTACTAAAAAGGTACTTTACCTCTTTAAGTTCCAAAAAGCTTCATGTATGTTGGCTAAAACTACAACCTCTGGGGATTTTGAATGTAGTACTTTTTTTTTTCAAAGTTGATTTTTACACCAAAACAAAGCAGATGATAGTATGTTATGGGGAGCAAAGTGGTAGAAAAATATTGATATCTAACCCAGACATCTGGCTGTGAAAGCCCAGCCAGGCAGAAAACTGAGTTCAGAGAAATGTAGTTTCTTTCACTATAGGAGGAAGGCAGGGACACTGAGTGTTGCCAGCCTACAGTTCTTCTAAAAAGCAGGCGAAGAATTAAGTTCCTAAAATGTAATTTGAACATCTGGCAGTAAAAAGAAATGTTTACAGCAATACTTTTTCAAAATTCAACAAACTAGGAATGGAAGGAAGCTATCTCAATAAAATAAAAGCCACAAATGAAAAACCCACAGCAAACATCACATTCAATGGTGAAAGACTACATACTTTCCCTCTAAGATCAGAAGTAAAGCAAGGATGTCCACTTTCATCATTTCTATTCAGCATGAGTACTGGAAGTTCTTGCCAGAGCAGTTAGGTAGGGAAAACAAAAGGCATCCAAATGGGAAAGGAAGAAGTAAAATTCTCCCTGTTCACAGATGATATAATCTTCCACACAGAAAACCCTAAATATTCCACACAAAACTTAGAATTAAACAAAAACTCAGTAAAGTAGCAGAATTTCTATATATTAACAAAGGCCAATCTGAAAAGAAACATAAAAATAATTCCATTTACAGTATCATCCAAAAGAATCAAGTACCGGGCTGGGGATTTAGCTCAGTGGTTCTGCTGAATCAAGTACCAAGAAAGACCTGTATAATGAAAACTGTAAAAAATTGCTGAAACTAAAAAGACCCCTGAACCACCCATTCTGTCACAAACTTGCCTTTTGAGCCTTCTCGATGTAACCCAGCTGCAGACTGCCTTTCAAGCCTGCTGCACACAAAGCCTGTCAAGTAACTTGTGGGGTCCCAGGAGCCCCCGTTTCAGCCCCAGCCTCCTTGGCTGACATTTCTGGTGTCTACAGTACCGTTACCATATACGAAGCATCAAGGATACATGAAGCGCCCTCCAGCCCCAGGTAGGCCTCTCTCCCTGGCCAATGCACTGGCTTCCCTCATTCAGACAAGTCTGAAGCATTAAGCCAGACTCAAGAGTCCACTTCGGGGCCACAGTAGTCAAAAGACCACAGGGACACTACAGAAATACTTCTGTCCTATAGAAAAAGAACCAGCAATCATCTGAGGCAGCCAATGAGAATTCATGTTGGAATGAACTTTAAACTCGGGGTCTGTTCCTATAAGTAAACCTTGGAGATACAGGTCCAGACAGAATCTTGTCAGAAACTCTAAGGCCAAAGCAGATTTGGGTGGTGACTCCGGTGGCAAGGGACCTCCCACTCAGCTGATGGCCAAGTGTCCTTTGCCAGGTATTCTTAGGGCCAAGATTAGGTATGCCAGGCAAGCAGCTAGAAGATCTTAGAAGTCCTTTCCATCTGAATTCCCTGTAAAGGCAACTAGAGACAAAGAGAATGGAAGCAGAGATATAATAGCAGCCAGTGCAGACTGGCAAAGCTTGGCTTTCCAAACCACAGAACTGACTTACGTTTTAGTCTATATTGAGAAAACAGATGGAAATTCAAATCTCAAGAACAAAAGGCAAAAGCACAGAGAGCCAGGTACTAATGGACTGACCCAGAGAACTGGCCTAGTGAGGGGCTCCCGGGGCCCAGGCCCTGCCTGGGTGACTCGGTCCCAGCACAGATGGGGTAGATAGTCCCAAGCAGCACACCTGGTGGCTGCCCAAACCAAGACCCACACTACGAACACCAAGGTCAGCAAAGGGTAAATACTCAACAACCCCATCAGTACACTTAAGAATCTGCTTACTTAAAGACCATCAAATCCAGGGTAAAGATTATCTTTTACATTAAAATCAATAAGTAACATTTTATTTTTCAGTCAAACACAGCCATTACACCTGCAGGGTAGAAACCTCTGCCATTCTGAGCAGTAGCAGGAGCCTCCTTAAAGCCCACCTTGGCCCCTAGCCTTAGGAACAGCTGACATTCCTAGAATTTGGCCTGCCTTACGCTTGATCCTTCCAAGGCCTCCAAATCTAAGCTGTGTCCCACCCTCCCTGCCAACCCCTCCTCTAAGAAGCCCTGCCTGGAGAAAGGATGCAAGGGTAGAGCTAGGGTTCTGGGAGGCTCCATCCAAGGAGAATCGAGGGCTCTGCCCCTCTTCTCTTTAAGATTTAGGCAATGAAGGAAAAAAGAAAGAAATGCAGTCACATTTTACAAATAATAGATTTATTCTAAGTCCCAAATTATAACCAAGTGCCTCTAAATCTATCTCGTTGCTTTACACAGGATTTAAAAAGACATAGTTACAGCCAAGTCACTCATTCACCAAGTGTCCAGGGGATGAGTTATGTGGATGCAATGCGTCCAGCCACCTCCCGCTGCTCAGACAGCCTTAGCTGCTCTGCAGCCCCAGCTCCTGCCAAGCTCCTGCACTGAGCAGCTCCCCGCTCTGTAAGAGCCTGGCCAAGCAGGAAATGCAGTGCACAGATGAAGTCCACAGCCTCAGGGTGCTCCCTCCAGAGAGCCCAGGATCCCATATCAGGCTGTCTGCCACTCTCTGCTGGGACAGCCTTGGCTTATAACCCAAAACGAGCTGGGGTGCGGCGAGGCGTCATGGGCTCACCCTGCTCTTTCCGACCTGGGGTGTAGATCTTCGTGGATCTGCAGACACAGAAGAGGGGACAGGTAACAACACACTGCTCCTCACCCGAGCAGGATACCCAGAGGGGAAGGAGGCTGAGGCCTGGCTGTTTGTGACCTGAGGCAGCTTTGGGCCAGACCTGTCCCTAGTACACTCCCCACTTTCATCAGAAATATAACAAAAGAAAGTCGCCTCACTAAGGAATGTGTGAAACAGGTTTTCAAACATCTCCCTTTAGACGCCCCTCAGTGGACTGAGGAGATAGCTTCCACCCACCTCAGCAGGTCACACACCAGCCAGGCGACAGAGATAGAGACCTGCCTGTGTCCCCAGAGTCTGAGAGGAATTAAACAAGTGACTGGAATGTCTCTGCTGTTCACAGAATGTCTCTGCCTCCCCAGGACAGCCTGTAACTCACTCAAGGTCCTGAGGCTGAAGCTCACCTCACACTGCCCATAGGGCTGCGCTTCTCCTGCTCCTGCCGCCGGGCTCGAAGCTGCTCCTCAGCCAGCGCCATCTCCTCCTCCATGGCAGAGGCTTCCTCTTTGGCCCGACGGCGATTCTCCTAGAGAAGAAGAGTCTAGCAGAGCCCACTGAGGACCATCAGAGAGCAGGCCAAGTGTGAACCCAGGTCCTTGCCACATAGCACCAGCTCTGAGACAAGGGACATATGGCTGCCTGTCCAGGACCAAGGCTGCCATTTCTTCTACCGCCAATGCCTACTGTTTTCACTTATTCAAGGCAATTTAGTCCTAGGCTAGTCACACTTCAGCTCTCCACTCAAATCAATAAGGACTTAACTAGCTGGGCATGGTGGTGCACACATATAATCCCAGCACCTGGGAGGCTGAGGCAGGAGGAGTGCCAGGAGTTCAAGGTCAGCCTGGACTACATAGCAAGACCCTGTCCCCCCCAAAAAAAAGTAAGGTCTTACATTTTTTTTGTAATCAAGTTCACAACCATGCCAAGAAGAACAGGAAATAGGAACAATGTTACCATCTGGTCGACAAGGACAGACATAAAGATGTGTTTGGCCCAGAAAGAAGAAAACAATGTTAAGGTGGAAAGCAAAAGCTCAGCAACATTTTGCAACCCTAAATAATGGATGTAAACTGTAGTCCCTGCAAACACTAAATCCTAAAGGAGATGGAGTAACAGGGAACTCAGAATGGAGACTGGGTGATGCCAACAGAACCACAGATCAATCTTGGCATCATCAAAAGTGGGCCCGCTAGACCTGATGTGCCTCCTGATGGCGTCTGAAAGGAACTGTTGCCTTTGCATACATGCATCCTTGCCTGACACAGGTGAACTGGAATCTGATCAAGCTTCAGATTAATTACTCAGTTACAGAAAGTACACAAAATGGAGGCACAGGTAAATACCACCATGAGGAAGCAATCACCCAAATACATAATATACACAAATCACAGCCCCCCCAAAAAAATCAGTATAATAAACAAAGGGAGGAGACAGAGGCTACTCTGGAATGGAAGAGTGAATAAATATAACAACCAACTGCAATGTTTGGATCTAATCCAAGCAAATCCATTGTGAGAAGTTACCTCTGAAATAAAAGGAGAAAAGGGAATAAGGACAGGAAACTTAGGTGTTATAAAGGATTAATTTTTTTAGGAACAATAATGGCACGGAGGTTACATTCTAAAAACAAGTCCCTTTCATCCAGATACATATTCAAGTACTTAAAGATAAAATAATGTCATGTCTAGATAGCTTTACAAAATGCCAGAGAAAGGATAGATGTGTTTAAAGATGACGGTGAAATAAGACTGAATAAGAAGACTGAAACAGGGGCCAGGGATTTGGGTCAGTGGTTCCACTCCCTGCCTCGCAGGTGCAAGGGCGAGTTCGATCCCCAGTACCAAAAAAAAAAAAAAAAAAAAAAAAAAAAAAGAAGAAGACTGAAACAAAGCTCACAATTATGAAGACCCGGAGATGAATTCACAGGGGCTTATTTATATCGCTCTACTTTAACCAAGCCACTGGCATGGTAGGAGGAAATCAGATAGAGGGGGTGGCTGGATCCTAGCATATCTGTTTGGAGAAGTAAGGGAATTAGAGGACAAGGGAACCTATCAATCTGTGGTCAAAGAGCACCTCCACTGGAAGCAAAGTCCTTACCTGGCGCGACTTGCCTGCCTGTTTCACGCTGTAGAACATGGGGCCCAGCTCCGCCAGCCACTCTCCATCCACTGCGGTCACACACTGCATGTACTCCTGAGGGCAGAAGGGCAGCAAGGCAGAGGGCATGGGGGCCAGTGACCCTCTGAGAGTGGTTCCACAATTGGGACCCACGCAAGAAGGGCCAGCCCTCTCCTGAGCCTCACAAGGTGGGAAAAGGCAAGAGAAAGCCCCAGATGCTGGAATTATAATGTCTTCTCCCATCAAATTCCCCCATGCTTGAGAAAATGCCCCCT